TCAGAAGTGTTCTAAAACAGTGGTCTTTAGGTATGTTCTTGGGACCACAGGGGGTCCCTCATTTGCTTTCAGGAGTGCAAGAAGTCAAAGCTGCTTTCCTAACAGGAAGACATGATGTGGCCTTTGTAGAATCATGATGTGGAGTTATTCACAGACTACACATGATATCAGAATGGACTGACTACAGAGGTAGACAGTTGGAGAGATTTGTACGAACATAAAGCAATGCTGCTCTTTCTGGTGATCAGGTTCAACTTGGATAAATTCAGTTGGTAGATATAGCTTCCCTTTGGGGTTCTAACTTCGGTGAGTGAACAGGAGAAACCCCCTTCAACTGAGCACTGCAGTTCTGTTGGCAAGTGCGGCAGGGTGAGTTATATGTTGCTCTGTAAGTAAACATGTGCTCTGTGGAGAAGCTTAGCAAGTGTGTGTGTCCTCCAGACAACATTTAGCAATGAATGGATGCACTCTGGTTGCTAATGGCCTTCAGTGGGTAAGTCCAAGGATGCTGGTGAACCTCCTACAAAGCACAAGACCCAGGACAGCCTTCCAATGAAGAATTGGGCCTCCATGTCCAGGGGGTGGAAGATCACAAGGGGTCTCCTGAAGGTCCATCTATGACGCTTACAATTGGACAGGAGGGTACGTTAGAGGAGGGTGGCAGTTTAAGGAAGAACCAACTGCTTCTTTGAGGTCTTGAGAGCAGCTGGTGCAGGGACGCAGTGGCTCTTGCAGCCTGGCCACCTTTCTCCAGCATCTGAGCAAGGATGGTTAGGGGAAGGAGCCTGGGAAGAGCCATCCAAGACAAGAAATTCAAAGCAAGGAATGGCATTTCCTATGTAACAATTACATATGAATTCCAATGCCCTTGAACAGTATTTGATTATACTGCCACATATCTTCCAGAGCCTTTTATCTGTAGTATTTCCCAAATACCTCTTCTTTGATTTGGATTTACTGGCGTTTCCTTGAGGGTTGTATGAAAAAAAGCTGGGAGAGAATGAAAGAAAACAAGGTACAGGAGGTCCAAACAGAAGACAAGTGCTCAGAGATGAGCATACAGATGGAGGCTATAGTCTTGCCAGGGACGCAGGGGCCAGATGTCCCCCTGAGGCGGCCATGCCACCACCCAGTTCTCCTTGAACACTTCCCACTGTCCTCTTTCAACTAACTCAGGCGAAAACTCCTGCCAGCATATGAACAGAAAGTAAAAAAAAAAAATCTTTGAGAAGATCTTTTAAAAAATTTATGTTAATATAAAGATGTGCTATCAGATTAATAAAACATTTGTTTTAACTTATAGAAAATTATTCCACCACCCAGTGCAATATGACCTTAGGCAGGTCTTTGTTTCTCTGCTCCAGAACACCATGGGGGTGGTGGCAATGGAACTGCAAAGGGACTATCTGTAAGGATGTTATTCCTAGAGGTAGACGGTGTCGCGATAAGATACCAGGTCCAAGGGAAGGCTGTTCAGCTTTCTTTTCAGCAATAGATGTTATATAAGAGTTGCTGTAAAGGCTTCGAACCAAACTAAGCAGAGCCGGACACGCAAAATACATAAGCAGAGAACAATACTCAAATCACCTTTAATGTGCTGAAAACAAATCACTTCACAAATGCATTAACAATTATTTAAAGCATAACTTTGGACACAGTACACAAATTCAAAAGACAAAACAAAACAATACAGCAACACCATCCTGCAGTCTGATCTTGCAAAATGAACTTTAGGATTTGAGGAATTTATTAAGATTTTAAATATTCATAAAATGTGCCTAGTCATGCTCCCCCAGACTTGAATGCTACTGAGAAGAGCTGCACAAGAATATAGTTCCTTGTCAATCTCCACATTTTCCATTATCAAGTGGCCTATTAGTCCAGCTGTGTTCTTGTTCCTTAAATATGTGCTGCAAAACCAGCAGTGAGAACTGGACAGAAACTTCCATTTTCAGGACACATGTGGATAAGCAACAAGTCAAATTTTAAAATTCTACTTGGGAGAGGAGAAAAATAAAAGAAAGAAAAAAATGTATCTGTGTCATTGAAGAAGTAGGCTTTTTAGGATAAGGTACAAGTTGGCTACAATAGTGATGGCCTTTAACAGTATTTTGTTATTCTGAGATATATCCTGCCATATAGTTTTTGGGGTAAATTTCTTATCAGAATAGAGCCTTATCTGTTCCACATAAATAAAAATGGAAAAATCTTAAACTCACCAACTTATTTTACAGATGAGGAAATAGAGTCACACAAGTATATGACTCATAATTTATGACAAGCAGGAAGCGGCGTTTCAATTTTGTAATTCCTCAGGTGAATGAAAATCTTTCCACTTTGCTGGTGTACCTTTTGCTCCATGACTTTATCTTCCTTAGGGAAAAAAGGTCCAGGCTGTCAAATATTCCTTTGTTGTAGCCAAAAAATGTGATCTTCCATGCAGACCACTTGCTGCCTTGTCTTCTGTAAGGCTAGAAGACAGCTAGCCAGCGTTTCCTCTATAAGGACCTTTCACACAATTGAAGTAATGTGTTATGGCAACCTCATGCCAGGATCCTGAATGATTCCTCTGCCGGGATTACTTCTCAAGCCTGGAGCAGGCACCCGTCCTCCACCCACTACAGGCTGTGAAGGGAGTGTGTGGTAACTCCATGCTCACAGACATGTTCATGGGGAACATGAACAAAATTACTTGTGAAGCTGACATATTCCAAAGGTGACATGTTCCAAAGCAACATGGGAATATTAAACCTATTTAAATCCCTCAGGTTAAGGTATTCTAGTTCAGAGTAACACTGAGAGACAGGAGAGGAAAAAATGTGTGCAAGAATGGTTTAATTCACCTGTGTGAGTCAATCATGCTTGGTAAGTGGGCGGAACTAGAAGAGAAGAAGAGAGCTGAAAGCTGAGGGGAAGAAAACAATGGAGTAAGGGTCAACTCAGGGATCAGATGAACTCATGTGCCTCAATCTGTATTCCTAAACAACAGTTTACACAGTGACCTGCCAAGTGTCATGCTTAAAATGCCATGTTGCCTCTGGGGTCCTTATGAGAGGTAATGAGGTGCTCAACATCTGTGTTTTGCAGTGGACATTTCAAGCCTTGTGGTTCCAGCTCTTAAGACAGTAGCACTAGAAAAAATACAAAAAGACAAGTGGGGCATCACACTCAGACACTACAGGCCATGCTCAAGATCCTAACTCAATAGACAGTCCAAGAATCCAAGCTACCTTACAAACACATTTCCACATAGCACTGATTTGGGAATTTTTGAATTACTGATGGACTTTTCAGGTTCAAACTTATTATTTATCCTTATGGCCAGGTTCTTTCCTCTAAAATAGAAGCAGATGACGCATATACATTTATATCCCTTGGTAGACGTAGCAGTAAGTAGATATAGGCGTGTTAGCAAGAAAAGTTTAAGGACAGTAGGAAGTCTTAGCAGTTTTAATGAAAGAGCAACAACCCTAAAAGAGAGCGTATATCACTGCAAAGCTAACTACTTCTCATCTAAATTGTCAGAAGAGTGACCCAGGAAGTAAGCAAGTGAAATGCAAGTAAGCCACAGTAAAAGTGGATTATCTGCTATAAAGAAAGAGCAGAGAAAAACAGGTGCAAATAATCCTAACTAAGCATATTTAAAGAACCTTTTAGATTTCTGCTTTTTGCTCTAGATAGGGCAATAGATTTGTTGGAATAAGCTACCTGCTGTAAAGGAGGGAGACTTAGAATACACTAAGGACAAGGAAAGATAACCTGGGGCTAATCAAAGTCTACTGCAGCTGATTACCAGTTAACTGTGTTTCTCAGGCAGAGCTCAACTCTTCTAATACGATGTACAGGAAGGAATCTGAGAGTCACAAGTCAATGTGTGATAAGACCTCAGTGATCAGTTCTGGAGCCCCGATTGAAGGAGGCCCTTGTCAGCAGCTTCTGAGCTCACAGAGACTTGGACCCTTGGCCTCAGTAGTTACAGTTCCCCGATTAGTCACAGGAAGAAAAGGCCAAAGTGGTGATTCTGCAGACACTCCCAACCTACAACTGTGTCAAGGAACAAAGATTCCACCAGGTAGACAAAACTACACAGAGCATTCCAGCTGTTCCTTAAATAAGCCCAAAGCCAGGAAGAAGGAAAAGTCACAATCTGCCAATTGCAGGGAGGTGAGGGGAAAGGTGGGAAGGAGGCGAGTGGAGAAAGTAGAAGACTACACAAAAAAAATACCCAAACTAGGTATCAAAAATACCAGCACTATTGAGTTGAAAAGAACTAGACATCAAGAGAAAAAAAAAGCTTGTTCAGAACACCAGCTGCAGAGACAGCACCAAAGAAAGCAGGGTGATAAGGAAGGGGCCACTGAAAAAGCCACCTGGAGGCTGGCACAAGAAGGAAGCTAGAAGGAACAGAAGTCCAGCCAGAGCCCCTGTATGACTGTGTGCAGGGAGCACTTGGTAGGGGCAAGGAGGTGGAATAAACTTAAAAATACCAGCTTCGAAGCAGATGCTGGCAGCTCAGGCCTGTAATCCTAGCTACTAGGGAGGATTTGGGGAATGTGGTTCAAAGCTGGCCCAGGCAGAAAAATCTGTGAGTTGCTTATACCCAATTAACTGCTCAGAAAGAGCTGGAAGTGGCACTGTGGCTCAGGTTGTAGAGTGCTATTCTTGAGCAAAAGAAGCCCAGGGACAGTGTCCAGTCCCTGAGTTCAAGCCCCAAGATGGGCAAACACACACACACCCAAACAAAAAACAAAACTGCCACACACACACACAAAACAAAACTGTTCCTCAGGTCAGCATAACATTCATAACATCATTGATATTTTCCAAAGCAGAAAAAAAGAAATACCTGAAAAACTCCAAATGGTGAGACCTCAAAGTCTTACATAGGAAAATATTTTGGAAGACCCAGAGTTTTATCACTTAGGGCTTTTCCATCCCCTTATTCTCTGTATTAGAAACTGTTCATGGGGAAAAAAAAAAGAATCTCTGAAGAGAGTTACCTCTGTGTCTACCGTGTCTTGTCCTTCTTTTGAACTTTTCCCACTTTTCCCCGGTTTTGGTGGTTCCTGGGAAACATCAAAGGCATGCAATTAGTCTTCTCAATTTTTTTTCGACAGCTGAACATCAGATAAACCAAATGCAGTTTCGAAATTGATTTATATAATTGAACTGGAACTTCTGGTGGTTTCAATCCATACCGGCAGGAGATCTACACGGTATTGTGGAAGGAAACCGTGCAGCCATGCAGCACACCCCCCCTCCCCCCCCGCGATTCTGATCAAGGCGCTTTCGTTCTCGTCAGTATTGGGGGGCTGAAAACTTTAAGCGGTGTCAGATGAGCCCGATTGCATGCAGCGCTCTCGGGCATTCTGCAAGCGCCACATTACACCCCTGGCTTCCCTCCCCGCCAAGCCCCGGGGAAGGGTTTCTGGGGTGATCCTGAAACCTTAAAGCCAGAGCCTTGGCCGCCCCCCCCCCCGCCGCCCCGTGCAAACGCAACGCGCCGCACTGAGCCGTCGCCGCCGCCGCCCCGCACAACGACCCAGGCAGCGTGCCACCCTGTCAGCCGCCCGCCTCGCCCCGGCCCGGCCCGGCCGCCGGGTCGCCGCCCCGCCAGCACCTGCCCACCTCCGAGCTCCCGCCGCTCCGCCGGGCCCGGCGCTCCCCGCCCCCACCGGCCTGCGGGGCGCCCGGCCCCGCGGCGTCCCGCCGAGGCCCCCGGCCCCGGCCAGCCCTGCCTTCCCCCTCAACCCCCCGCCCCGGCCGCCCGGACCCGGGACTCACTTTCTCCTTCTTGTTTTTATTCGGCATGGCTGGTGCGGACCGCCGCCGCCGCCCCTGCCGCCGCCGCCGCCTGCCCCCGCCGCAGCAGCGCCCCCACCCCGGCCGTCGCGCCGCCCCGGCCGCCGCCGCCGCCGCTGCCGCCGCCGCCGCCGCCCGGGGACTGAGTCGCTCGCTCGCTCTCGCTTCCCCTTTTCCAGGCTCCCAGAGGCTGCGGCAGCCGCGGCGGCGGCGGCGGCGGCGGCGGCAGCGGCGGCGGCGTCTCTCCGCCCCTCCCCTGGCCCGCCCCTCCCCTGCGCAGGCCCCGCCCCCGCGCCAGGCCCCGACCCGTGCCGTCCCCACACCGCCCCTCGCCCCGCCCCTCCGCCCTCAACGGCCCCTCGCCATTGGTCGGCGCGCCTTCACGTGCCCTAACGCTCCGCTGCGCCGCCACGCCCCCTGCGCGCCCAGTTCCCACCCACTTCTCGTTGCTCCGCCGGCGCCGGCTTCTGCTGCTGGGTTCTGAGGGAGGCGGGCGAGCGGTGGGAAGCGAGGCGTCTGAGGAGGCCTGTGGCTGCGACTTAGGTGACAGGGCCGTGGCCGCTGTGGAGGTGTGTGTCAGGGTAGGGGACGAGTAAGGCGTGTAGAACGCACGTTTGAAATGTATGGTAACAACGTGGGCGGCCAGCGGTGTGCGAATGGTGACTTCTCGGCCTCGCCCTTCTCCGCGGCGGCTCTTGCAAAACGAGGGCACTCGTGCGCGGTGCACGTGGGGCCCGTGGAGGCCCGGGAGCCGCGCGAGCGGCGGTTTCGCAGGGCCACGCCAAGCCCCGCCTGCCGAGCTAGCCCCGCCCCCGCCCCGCCCCTTAGCGACCCTGCCTCCTCCGGCGCAGGCCCCGCCCCTTAGCGACCCTGCCTCCTCCGGCGCAGGCCCCGCCCCAGGCCCCGCCCTCCGGGGCTGTGCTTATTTTAGCACGGGCGGCAGCTAGGCTGGGTTTTTGTTTTTGTTTTTTAAACAATATAATTTTATTGTTATCGTTAAGGCGTGGTTCAGAGGGGATACCATTTCATAAGTCAGATAAAGAGTACATTTCTTTTTTTTTGGACAAGTCACCCCTTCCTTCTCACTCCCATAGTTTTCCCCCTTCACGTCCCTGCCCACAAGTTACGTAGTTCGTTTCCCACATAGTGTATACTGAATGGCACAAGTACGTTTGTTCACCTTTATTCTTTCACTTGGTTTAATGGTAAGCCGTATGAGAAAACTTAAGTATGATGACCACCTACTTTTCTCATTCACTGATAGCTCTGGGGAGCCGAGTTTTTCACAGGGGGGAAAAAAGCATCACTTTTTAATGCATGCTTCTTCAGTCTGTCTAGGGTTCCTGATAATTGGAGGTGCTAATTAAAGTCATCCTAGAGTGCAGCAGTGCATCAGGCAGTGAGACTAGGAATGAAGGATGTGAGCGGTATTTCAGGCTCACCTTGATTAACTAAGGGGCTGTAATTTTTTTTGTGTATGTGTGCTAGACCTGGAGCTTGAACTCAGGGCCTGTGTGTAATCCCTGAGCTTTTTTGCTCAAAGCTAGTGCTCTACCACTTGAGCAACCACTTGGCTTGTTGGGGTAATTAATTGCAGGTAAGAGACTCACACTTTCCTGTCTGGGCTGGCTTGGAACCTTGATCCTCAGATTCAGCATCTTGAATAGCTAGGATTAGAGGTGTGACTCACCAGTAGCATACTTCAGTAGACATTTTTTTGGATGCTTTCTGTGTGCAAAGCATACTGCAAGATGAGCAAGGTACTGCCTTTGTCAAGCAATGCATATACCTGGGTGGGAACAGAAAACCCACTGCTAGCCATGGCACAAGAGAAGTCTTTAAGGACTAGGATTAGGATGTCAGGCTTGCAATTGTGAAGGACTCTGCATAGGATGCTTTGTTGTGGCCAGAGATATACAAGGAACAAAAGCTCTTGATTAAGACAGGTATGGGTTGCCAAGTAATTGGACTTGTTTTCTAGTGCATTTTAGGGTCACTGAAGAATATTCAATTGGAAAAGTGATGTGATTACATTTGCATTTTCAAAAGTATCTGTGTCAGGAGTGTGGCAAGTGTGGAGGTGATGGTCCAGGTGCTGCTTCTCTGAGAGTAGCAGGGGGACCACAGGTAGCAGGTGGTGGACTTGCTCAGATGGAGAGCGCCAAGATCTTAGCTAAAAAGCTAGTGCTCATGTTTGTAGTTTGGGTACTAGAGTGAATGATGAGGAAGGAAAGCATATAGAGAGCAAGTTTTCTCAGAAGCGTGATGAAATCTGTGTGGGACATTGTGTTTGAGCCGTGTCTCCAGAACATAGGTAGAGTGACAGTACGGCAGAGTTCTAGTTGCAGATTGTTAGGGAATTATCAGGTCATTTTGAGTTTGAGAAAAGGAATAGAAAAGATACCAGACAAGCTGCCTAGTTTCCATCCAGTGACCTTGAAACCATAGTAACCAGAGAAGTCTGACTACACCATCATGTAACATGCGGGTACCTCACCGGCTACTAAACTGGTTTCCATTTGTCCACATTAGAAGAAGCCATCCCATGACCATATGAGCTGACGGTTACCTCTCCCTGAGGACATTGTGCCCTGGGTGTTTGTGGTCTTCAAAGGAATGCTGAATGTAGATATAGCTTGCTCTCTAAAGAAGGATTTAGAATGGGATGCCAAAGGGGATACAGAAACAGTGTGTGAGTGCACATGTACAGTGTGTGTATGTGTGCCTGAGGGCTCTTCTGGGACAGCCCTGGCTTCCATGTTCATAAAGCCATCTCCCATAGCACACAAAACGTCGTTACCCTTCTGAAATGCTTTATTTTCCTTTAAATAATTGTACAGAAAGGTTTTCATTCAGCATGTTAATTTATGTACACAATGCTGAAACACTTCTTTGAAAAGGTCTCTAGCAATTTGAATATACTCTGTCCATGTCTAGCTCTGGAGAAATGGTTAAGGGATTGCTTTGTTTATCTGCTGCTGGGGTCTTTCTAGAGGGTTGCAGAGGTTCCCAGAGAGCCCAACCAACCACACAGTGGCAGGGGTTTTCCACCCTGGCCCTCAGCCGGACTCAGCCTCTGCAACCTTCTCTTCCCAGTGTCTCCTCTCTTAGACACCCATGGCACTTGAGGTCCTGCCTCCTGGTTTACGCTGAGTCTGGTATGAATTTTTCCTGGCTGACACATTGCAGCTTGGGCCTTCCTGTCCCAGGATGCCCTCTTGATCCTGACTTCCAGGACACCAGGACACCATGGGCTCAGCTTGCTTCACGTCCCTTCTGCCCAGCTACCTCCAGTGAGTGTCAAGGCAATCTTACTGTGTGGATTTTCAGCTGAGCTTCTTAAGAGGTGGTGGTTATGGCTTAGATACTCTGTTTCTTAGTGCCTCACTGGAAGGAACTGATGCTGGCTTGCTCCTTATTGCAGTTTGGCCCGACTTGTTCCCAGGCTTGTCCACTAACCTATGCCTTCTGCCTTTAAGCTATTTTCTCCGCTAGCCTCGTGGTGTAGCTATAGTCCCCTTCTGTCCTTGTCCCCGGCCCTTCTCAGGCTCCCAGCCTCCACCTCCAGCCAGAGGTTGCATGGATTGGACAGTAACTTCTTTTAAGGCCAAGCCAGGTCAGCTCATCTAACCACCTTTTAACCCTTTCCTTTGAAAAGTCTTTCACAGTCATTTTTAAAATTGAATCTGGATATATTTATTCACACACTCAACTCTCTCTACTCACAGTGGCCTACAGGCTTAAGAATAGATTTAAGTTGGGTTGGGAAGGTGGCTCAGTGGTAGAGTGCTTGCCTTGTATGCACGAGTACCTGGGTTCGATTCTTCAGTACCACATAAGCAGAAAAACATGGAAGTGGGCGCTGTGGCTCAAGTGGTAGGTAGAGTGCTAGACTTGAGCTGAAGAGCCAAGGGACAGCGCCCAGGCCCAGAGTTCAAGCCCCACAACAGACAAAAAAAAAAAGTAGGTTTAAGTGAAATTACATTTAAATTGTCCACCATATAAATTGTGTTGATCCCAGAGCCTGGCAGAAAACAAGTGCTCAGTGAGTTTAGTTGTCAACTAGTGGACAGTGATTTGGTGTAGGTACCATTTAGTTTTGAGGAGCAAGAGGAAAATCCCCAAGTTTTACCTTTAAGGCCCAGGATACTTAACAGCTCTGTTAGGCTAAGCAAGGCTCTTGGTTGGCCAACTGAAGAGTCTTGATAAACACCACTAGCTAGTTGCCCTGAATCTCAGTATAAAAACCATTCAGAGCTGGAGTAACCAGCCTTAGGTGCTGACCCCATGAGAACCAAAGGGCAAAAACCATGAACTTTAGAACTGCAAATCTTGTAGATTGACCTTAATAAAATTTTGAATCCAGCTCTTGACAAATGGAAAACACAAAAAAATCATTATCAGGTGAATAGGATGAAATACAATCCCTTTTCTTTTTCTCTCTGAAATCCCTAAGTCCAGGGGAGGATGTAAGAAGGGACAGAAATAACCTGAGGTGGAGAGAATACCTTAAGAGCATTAGAGACTAGATTACGAGGTCACAGAGAGAAAAGGGCACATTCAGATGGGGGCCGCAGAAGCTTGCTGGGAGGGAAGGCCTTGCTGAACAGCCACAGTATTTTTTTTTTTTTTTGGGTCCAGTCGTGGGGCTTGAACTCTGGGCCTGGCGCTGTCCCTCAGCTCTTCAGCTCAAGGCTAGCGCTCTACCACCTGAGCCGCAGCGCCACTTCCGGCTTTTTTCTTTTTGCTTATGTGGTGCTGAGGAATCGAACCCAGGGCCTCGAGCATGCAAGGCAAGCGCTCTACCACTGAGCCACCTTCCCAGCCCCCAGCCACAGTATTTTGATATGTGGATTTCAGTTGTTTTTGTTCCCTTGGATTTTTGGAGACAGTCTCATTATATGTGCAGATGGGCCTGGAACTCAGTGTGTAGTCCTGACTGGCCTCAAGCTCACAATCCTCCTACCTCAGCCTCCTGAATGCTGAGATTGCAGGTTTGAACCACCATGTCCACTTTGATTTTAGGTCTTAATCAGGTTTGGGGTTTTTGGTCTTAACAGACAGGAAACAGATGG